TTAGGGCTATTTTTAGGGAGTCTGCCCCCCCCCTTCTTCTGGCAAGGCTTTACATTGGATATTGGAACATTGCTGTGAGCACTTGATTGCATCCAGCTGCAAGAATATTTGTGAGGTCAAGTACTGATGTAGAATGATTAGCTCTGGATCAGAAACACCCCTCCATCTCATTCCAGAGGTATTGGATGGAGCTCCAGCACTCCAGAGAATCCAGATCCTCTGCTGCACCAGTGTTGGGGGGGCTTTATACCTCTCTAGCTCATGTTTGGCACTGGCCATGGTGACCATATGCTCCTGTATGGCTGTTCCAGAGCACCCCAATTCTATGGGCAATGCTTTTCTATGGAGATTCTGCAAGATATTTGTGTGCAACTGAATGTCTGTATCAGCAACAGGTGCAGAATTCACTAATTAGAAGGGTTGTCTAGATACTTTTGGACATATACTATAGTGTAGGACTCCTGAGGTTAAATGTGTTGCGGTCCTTTTTCATTCCCAGCTTGCCCCCTCTCCATGTTTTCCCATTAGCCATCCAGTCCTTCCTTATTCTCATGTATTAGTACCAATAAAATTCAGTTTACCTTCTACATGTCCTTGTGGTTACAAGGTTAATTTAGCAGAATGGTAAACACTGGCGCAATTAGCCATTAAATATAGTTCCACTCTTAAACTGAAATTGCCCCAGATGGGATCCTGCTCTGGCATGGTATGTGGAATAAAGTTGAGTGTTTGTATTAGATGACTGTGGCTCCATGTTTTTGCAGTTTCCCTCTGAAAGGTGCCCAGAGGCTAATTGTTTGTGTCGGCAACCTCGTCTGATTAAGGCATCAGTCATCAGGCGCTGCGCAAAACAGATGTGGAGCCCAAAACGTCCTCATCTCTTATGAGGGCTGGAGGACAGCGCTGAGGCGCAATTGCTTTTACACACGTCTTTGCGGTGCCATAAAACACAGGAGCTGCGTCGCTTCCCAGAATGCGAAATGCTACAAGTAACCTCGGCTCAGAGCTTCCCTCTACGTTTCATCTCCTTTATTCAGTCTCTGTTTTCAGCTGTCGTCTTTTGCTATATCGATTTGCAGCCGTGTTCTTGAATTAGCTGTGCTATGTCTCAGTTTCGAGGAGGAAAGAATTAACAATGATTTGACAGATCAGGAGAAAAAGACAGTTTTTTTCTGGAGGGAAATAAACAGAGAACTTTAATTCGCTCCTGAAACCTTGAAGGTATTTTTAATGACATTTTTGCTGTCAGTAGCAAGTGTTGCACATATTTGGCGGTGATATAGTTTCATTTGGCTGCAACTCATCACTTGATTAATGAAGTACACACAGTACTTTGCAAAATTGAAAGACCACCCATCATTTATTTAATATCCAGTCAAAACAGTGATTATGTTCAAGGTATTTTTTGATGATTCTAAGAAGATTAGAAAGAAGAGGATTCATGTGCATAACAAAGAGGAAAGCCAATGGAAAATAAGTGATACAGAGAAAATGGGCCTCCTAACAACCACCTGGAAGACCTGGTAGACTTCAAAAACTGTCCCCATCAGATAAACAGCACTTAAAGCTTTCATCTTTGAGAGAGAGGAGAAAATCAAGCTGCTTCAGATCTGAAAACATCCACAGGTGTTTCTGTCCATCCTTCCACTGTGAGAAGACGACTCAGCGCTACGGGTATGAAAGGATGTGTAGCTGTTCAAGAAGAACCTCACTGAGAAAAGGAGACGGACACATCAAACAAAGAAGCTGAACAATGGACTGACCACCCCAGAGTCCAGACCTCAACATCATTCGGTGTGTTTGGATGTTACTTCAGAAAGTGATCAACCAACTTCTAAGACTGAACTTTGGTAGATTTGGCAGATTTCTTTGAAAAACTGAAAGCAAGACTCCTGACAAAGAATGGAAGCTGTAATAAAACCACACTAAATACTGAATAATCTCAGTTCTGTTTAGTTGTTGAGGCTTCTGTGTATTTTTTCTGTTAAATTTGTTTTCTGCATTTTTTTTTTGACTGAAAATTAAGTAAACGAAGGGTGGTCTTCGACTTTTGCTCAGTACTGTATATTTTTTCACAGTCTTTTTACAGGCCATATATGATTAGCAGAGGTAGCCTTTAAAAAACTCCTTGATTGACCATCAAAATGACCTGTAGATTACTCATCTGCATATATAATCAATTGTAAGAGCCCTTAAATAAATAAACCATTCATGTTTTCCATCCCAGGGACATTTAATCCCCACAAAGAGAAAAACACATGACCACACACATGCACGCATTCACACACTCTGAAAAGTACTGATGAGCCACTCTAAAGAGAAAATCTTTTTTTGGAGGATTGCACCTCCAGCACCTGGTCTCCTGCGCAGGCCCACTCTGACATCTGTTAGGGATTACGAGGGTAATGACTGGTAGTTTTGTTCAAAGTTCCCCTCCATCTACAGTGCTGCACGACAGCTTAGGTCATAGAAAACTAAACCTTAAACACATTTCCTCTTTTATAGGGCTTTTTATTGTTCCAACTTTAGGGGATGGGGGGGAGAATTCCTTACTTTGCCTTTTTTAAAATGGCTGTGTTGTGCTCTGGTGGCCATCAGGGCCTGAGAGAGAGTCCTCGTTCTGAAATATCACTCGACAGGCTCTCCAGATGATGTCATGTAACCTCATAACTACATGTCAAATGACATCATGCTCTCATTCTTCTGTTTTAATGAGGTTAAGCTTTTTTATTTTTATATGCTGGATTGCAAGATGATATTTATGATACTGGAGTCTGGCCATGGTGTATAGAAAAACGCAGTATGAGTCGAACACAAGCAATCATGCACAGGTGTAATCATGAAGTGCCACATAAATGGAAGATGCCGTTGGGTACTATTAGTTCATCAATATGAACATGAATATTATATTTACAATGCGAAGCTGATGAAATCTTGGATTAGTGTGTGACACGACACTTAGAGGTCTAGAGTTATTAGTGTTCTTTTGCTCTATATTATGTAATTATTACATTGTAAGTTACACAATTAATTGCATTTACGTTCGATTTGCATTCTGTTTTCGTATCAACAGGTTTAAATCTGCATTTCTAATAATTTTCATGGTTTTTATGTTGCTTAATGTGGCCCAACTCAATCTGTGCAGTTCTAAAGTGCTAGGCTGCCTGAGAAGTCATGAGTTATTAATTTTGTTTTATTTTGTTTTGGTATACTAATAAAAAATAATTAATACTTATTTAATTGCATTGTAAGTTCTGCAGTAAATTACAATTACATGTTATTTACATTCTTAAGTTACTAGTTCACATCTGCACATCTGTCTATTTCCATATTAAGTTCTTATGTTTCAGTGTTAAGTAATGACAAAAATAATGCATAAATAAAGGATATTTTTCTTTTTGCAAAACAAAACTATATGCTGTTTATCATACCCAGATCATAACATTTTTTTTTCATTTCAGACTGACTGAATCTGTAATTTCTCTGCTTGTTTCAATGAACAGCTGATAAATAATCAAACAAAATGTAAGAAGAGTTATGGGCACACACACCACAGGAGAACTAGGAGAGTTAAATATATTTGTCAGTGCTCAGTTAAATAATAGTGACCCTAAAAACTAAACAAAAAATGTGATAGCTATTAAAAAGTAGAGTATTCTGTTGTATTGTAATTTTGTGATGCCTGTTCCACACTGAAGCCCAGAGAACACCAACCCAATGTTACGCAGTGGACACTAACAAACCCAAAGGTTGGGTTGGTGACTATATACAGTATGCAAGACTTTAAGCAACCCTGATCAAATTACACATTTTGTTGATTTTCTAAGCAAAAAGAGCTTAAGACCACTTCTGTGTGGAACCGAAATATGACGTTTTTCTCGACACTATTATTTATTTACTGAATTTAACCTGCTGGGAAAAAAGCAAATTCAACAAATTGTGTAATTTGACCAGAAGAGTCCAAACTTCCATATAACTGTATTTGTGAGTTTTTGGAGTCTACAGAATGATCTTTGCTTATTTACACAGTTCTAGAATGTGCTCTGCACATTGTTCTAGATTGTTTAAATATTTGGGATTTTTTATGACACTGTTCTAGAATTTTCTCATCCGATTCTCACTGCTCTAGAACGTCATTGACCCATTAATACTGTTCTAGATTGTTATCGACCCCTTTACACTGCTGTAGAATGTATTGACCCCTTCACACTGCTCTAGAATGTTATTGACCCCTTTACACTGCTCTAGAATGTCATTGACCTATTCTCACTGCTCTAGAATGTTATTGACCCCTTTACACTGCTCTAGAATGTTATTGACCTATTCTCACTGCTCTAGAATGTTATTGACCTATTCTCACTGCTCTAGAATGTTATTGACCCTTTACACTGCTCTAGAATGTTATTGACCTATTCTCACTGCTCTAGAATGTTATTGACCCCTTTACACTGCTCTAGAATGTCATTGACCTATTCTCACTGCTCTAGAATGTTATTGACCCCTTTACACTGCTCTGGAATGTTATTGACCTATTCACACTGCTCTAGAATGTTATTGACCTATTCTCACTGCTCTAGAATGTTATTGACCTATTCTCACTACTCTAGAATGTTATTGACCCCTTCACACTGCTCTAGAATGCTCTCAGTTCATTGACACTCTTCCAGGATGTTATAGCCCTATTCCCAGTGTCCTAGGATGTTTTCATCCTTTTCATGCTGTTCTAGAATATTCTCACCCCATTTACACTGTTCTAGAAAATTCTAACTCCATGCACACTGTTCTAGAATATTCAGATTCTATTCACACTGTTCTAGAATATTCAGATTCTATTCACACTGTTCTAGAATATTCAGATTCCATTCACACTGTTCTAGAATGTTCTCAATGTTCTCATTTCTAGAAATTCTAACTCTGTTCACAGATATTCTCGAATGTTCTCAGGCTGTTCACAGTGGAGAAGAGGTTCATGTTGCTGACTCTTTCTTCTCGTTTTTCAGAATGCTGGAGGACGACCTGAAGATCAGCAGTGATGAAGATGACAGTGAACAGGTGAGCTTTACTTTATCAAACGAAAGATCTCACCTGCAGCACACTGACCAGTAAAAACTACTGACTAGTAAAACAGATCAGCAGTTTCTGAGCGTGGACACATATTCAGAGTGGAATTTGCACCACTGAGGGATTATTATTTATTATTATTTATTATTTTGTTATTTATCAGAGTGATGATAAAAGATGTGTGAAGCGTATTCATGTGTTTGGTTGTTTAAAATACACCGTAAAACATGTTTTGTCGGTTCAGTCCAAAGAAATCAGTTCCTATGGTAACGAGGAAATTGACTAGTTTTATTAGATTATAAAAAAATACTTTGAATTAACCATTGTTGCAATCTCTTTTTTCAGTTCGAGTAAAACGAGTTCAGTTGCTTGTTAACAAGGAAGTAAATGTTTTAGGTTGAACTAAAGAGTCATTTTTAAAAAAGTAGGTAGTTTGTGACAAAAACACAATGTTAGATTATACATTACATCATTAAAGGAGATTCAAATGCATAAATAGCTGTCTTTTCATTAAAGGGTTAAATGTCATCAGTGAGGAAATGATGTACAGAAAAGATATTAACCAACTTATGCCAGAGATATATTAAACAGTCTGAGAGTTTTTGTACTGAAAGTTGCAAAAATAGTTCGTAACCCTGTAAAACACATGCAAAAAAGTTTGTTTCTGTGATGTTATCTGCTCTTTTCTGTTAAAAACATAGTTTCTGAATGGTGTTTTTGTATTTATTTGTAATGTAAAGACTATGACCCAGCAAAATGAGAATGAGTTTGTGTTATAATACATAAAAATTAATCGATTTTTGTTCACTTTTAGAACATGCAAAGCAGTAATAGGAATGTAAATCACACATCTGTTGCACTTTATCATTGCTGATTAACCCCTTAAATGGCCAGGAACCCCTGGTGGGCCCATCACATTACTACACACTTGTGTAAAAGAATAACTCAGACAGTTTGCATTGTAATCCATGTAATTACTAAATAATAACCCTTAGTATGTAGTGGGCTTGGGATGGGTTTTGACAGTGTTAAACAAAACAACAAGTGCATACTGATGTGATCTGTGCTCTGAATAAATTTGCATACTCACTAAATCTATAAATTAATCTTGCACTAAAACTCAATAAATCACTGTACATCCAGCAATGCAGTACAGTACAGCACAATCCAGTGCACCTTTTACACAGTGATAGAAAACACTGTAACACACAGAAGGCTCTGTTTCTGCATGATGGTGCACTTTACTATAGTCTGTGCGGACATGCATGCACCAGCAGATTTAAACGAGTTTAAAGGAACATCCCTGTCTCTGAATGGATCATCAGCGAGACACGTGGTTCAATAGGGTTCAATAGAGTTAGTCTCATCCTAGCACGTCTAAGTCAGTCAGAGTAGAGTAACATGAAAAACCTGTTGAAAAGAAGTGGAGATTGCTGATTCTAATGTATAAAGAGATTAATATTCTCCTTTATTATCTATGGAGAAACTGAGCTCTGTCTTAGTTGCCCAGTATAGTTTTTTCATTGCATATGTTTTTCTATTGTTTGTGTGTAGAACTAATGAGGGGACTTTCTCATGGAACCATGCAAATGAGCACAGCATCACATTCTCACACTGTTAGCGCCTCCATACAACAGAACAAATCCTTAATCATCACACACACACACTCAGGGATATATATAAACATGCCACCTCTCCTTGCTCGCACATTATAAATACGAACATACTGTAGTACAGTGGCAGAACTCATACATACTCACAGTGTATACAGTATTCATGCTGACATCTCTACATGCAGTACACATGCACTCTCCCACGCTCAGAGGCAACACATGTGCACCTTCACACACATACACGGCAGTTTGTGGGCCACACTGGGCCAGCATGGCAGTAACTGGAGTGGAGGAGGGATAATGAACATGTTTCACACTGAGCGAGTGTGAGGGGGTGGACTAGGAGAAACCAGCAGCAGTAATTTTGCTTCTCCCTCCTAGTTACCCACATAGAACCAGATCCAAAGCAATTAACCTCTCTCTCTATTTCTCTCTCTCTCTTTCTCTCTCTCTCTCTCTCTTTCTCTCTCTCTCTTTGCCTCGTATTACTACTCTATTACACTAGACCACAGATACAGTCCTATATAATTTATCCGACAAAATACAGAACAAGAGACTATCTACCGTATAAGGAGTTCCTTAAGGCCTTTTTTAATTGTGTCTTGCTAGTGACCCATGGCCTTCTCTTTGGGCTTCACTTTTTTTTAGCTTGGTTAATTGGATTTATGGGTAAGCACTTCAGTTAACACAATAATCAACATTACTGAGCATCAGCTGTACTTTTCCCATAGTGCCAACTCTGTGAAACAAGTAGCTTGGAAAAATGTTAGTTTTTCACAGTTTCACCCCTAAATTAGAGCTTTATTCAGGCCTGAATTATGGTCCGGACCTGAATACAGTGGGAGAATGTCTGACCAATCAGACTTGTATTTGTACTGGGACTCGTCTTGGTCTCGGCCACAAGTCCCACCAAATTTGCTTGCATTTCAAGCAACATTTAAGCAACTTGGGTTAAACTGGATGATAGCAAACTAGAGCTGAGCTTCAGCAGCTTTAGTTTATCTCATGGCAGATAGAGCTGAGCTCTAGTATTGTAATTTGATTGAAATGTACACCATTTTGTATAAAGACGTTGGGCAATCCATTTAGATGTGATGAACCACGGTGAGAAATAAGCTTCAAACTGTTCTGGCCCCCCACCTCTCAAAGTTCATTTGTTTTGCCGCTGTTAAACTGTCCTCCTGGTATCGTTCTACTGTATGCAAGTAAGTAAGGATCAGAAGACATAATTTTCATGCCAAACCTGAAAAACAAGGATTACTTTAAGCAGCCAAGTAAACTAATTGACTTCATTAACACAGAAACAGATAGGCTGTTAATCACATTCGTCATGATATTTCATAAGACAGGCTTTGGCTGCATTCATTCAGAGTGGGCATTGAATGCCAAGAAACTTTTAATGCAAATCACATTTGTGTTTGTAAGTGGAAGAGAAGGTTTATTATAATTTGAATTTGATTATTATGTTGATTTGATAAGTGTTTTTTGGACATACCATAAAATCCTCCCCTTTTCAGAAATTTGTGCTGGAAGAAGATTAAGACTAACTAAAGGAGGACTCAGGGTTTTTTGGGGGTTTCAGTCTCGCTTTCACTTGGACTCGGTCTTGACTTGAATCTCAGCTAGTTATGGTCCTGGACTCGTCTTAGAGTCAACAAAGGTGGTCTTGACTACAGCCCCATTTCCTGGCGTGGTCCTTGTGAAAACTCAGTGCTCAAATCTAAACAGTACGAGTGGGTGACGCCAGCATACCACTTTAATACCAAGGTATTAAAGGTTGAAGGGTGAAATAAAACAAGGAGAAAACTAAAGCAGGGGGAAATATAATTTTAAATTTATTAATGATGAGCGGTGAAAAAACCCAAACGTGACATTTAACCCTGAGCAAGTCTGTCAGATTGTTGGAGAATGATGTCTGAATCTGACTAAACCTGACATGAACAATATTTCAAGCTCTACCCTGAATACAATCAAAATTTGTTGTCCAAACTTTGCTACTTAGTTTTGCACTAAAGCTGTACAGCTAATAAAGCTAACAGATAAAGGTAGCTTATGGCCACTGATTAGCTCTGTACACGCTGTATGCCTAAATCATCACATATTCAAAACACGTCTTACTCATGTAACACATCTAGACGTGGTATAGTGTAGTGGGTAATACTGCTTCTCTCCATGCAACACGCTGGGGTTCGAGCCCCACCCACGCCACACCAGTAAGTGTCTTTGGGCAAGACTCCTAATACTTCATTGGCCTAGCTCTGAAACGTGATAAAACTGTGTCTGCTTTTTTTATGTATAACAGTACTGCTATTAACAAACAGGGTTGGGATGTAACGGAATACATGTGTTGCCAATATTTATTCAGAATACAAAAAGTATCTGTATTCAGTCAAATTTACAATTTCTAAAGGCAGTATTCAGAATACACTTACTTTTTACATTTTTAGGATAATACTTTTAGAATACTTACCCACTGAATAATATAAAAAACTTACAATCTTCAAAAGAAACACCATCAATACTGAAGAGGACCTCAGTGAACTGCTTCGTAACAAACACTGAAGTTCCTACTAAAGTCTGAGTTGACTGATAAACCAATGTCATGAACCAGTTATGAATCTCAGTGTTACTGAGCCCTTTTTAAAGGAATGATCAAACCAATAATCTTCTCAGTAGTGAACTTGTTTGCAAGTGATAACTAAGTGTAGCATCAGTGTTATACTGGACTATTTCGGGGGATAATTAGAGCAGCAGTGGGCATGAACACGGCAGTGAAGGAGAAAAAAAAAGTTCAGGGTTTTTTTTTTTTAATGAGAAGAATTTTTTTGAAAAAGATTTTCATCAAATGTAACAACCAGTAACAGTGAGGAACAGTATGAATAATTTTCCATTTGCCTCACCAAGATATATTACAAATGTATTCTAAATGTATTTTGAACAAGTTACTTTTTATGTTTGTTTATTGTATTAAAAAAACTGAGTAGATTTCAGAGAGTGTAGTCAGTAATTAGCCTTCACTGCTTTTTCACAGTATTTTGCCCAACTGTGTCTGCAAAATGGACTAAAGTATATGGCTAAAAACAGTAGCAGCAGCCTGAATTTTGTCTATTCTGTTGACCGTCAACAAAATGTTTTCCAAGCCATTTCACACTGAGGGGCAGTGGGATTACAGTGAGGCCTCACAGATACAGAAACACTTCCAAACTCTCAGATCAGCGGCATATTTACGACTCCCGGCTTACTTATTAATCATTTAACGTCTCTCTCCGTCCCCCTGATTGAAAAGGATACTAGTGAGACTGATCGCCAGAGAAGAGCCAGGAGTACTAATGGCATTTTTACAAGGGGGTATTGAAGTTCAATGACATCATTTGTTAA